GATTTTTAAATTCTAACAAGAAAAATGAAAATTTTTATAGTATCTATTCAAAAACGTTGATTTTCATTATAATTTAAAATAGCTGTTCATATTGATAACACGGATATTTGGTCTTGAGGAYGTTAAATTAATAATTTTCCTGGTTGTGTTTCTATTCACCCCATCTTATGATGCTTAATGGTGCATTATAATAATTTTATTAAAAGCAACAAAATATAAATATATAATTATTTTTCATTGATTGAAACCTTGCTTTTATCAGCAACAACTAACTATGTAAAAAATGTATGTAATTTTTCTTTAGTTAATCAATATTATTGTTTTAAATTAAACCACTTTAATATGTACTAAAAACTTCAAATTATTCAAAATAAATTCACAGTTATGTATAGGATTGAAATATCCCATAAAATGATGGGCTTGAAATTTTAATTTTTAAATGTACTTATAATTAGATTGTTTTTAATGAAAATTTAAATCAGTATACAATAGATAAGCTATAACAAACAAAAGTCAAAAATTAATGTAATACCACAGGCAAAGCGACGAACGGCTTTATTGGTACGTGTGTAAAAAATGAAAACATGTTCCATTTACAATATTATAAAGTTAAAATCGTTTTAACTTGTTACTTATGGGTCATCGTCGTTGTCATCAAAAACGTGTAAAATTTTTTTTTTTAGACATTCCGTCCAAGCGGTGTCAGTCACTAAATCGTCACAGACGAATGCATCGTATTATCGTAAACATAATCGTACAAATGATTTTACTTTTTACATAATTCTATAATAAGCATGACGTGTATRTTAGGTAATATTGTACCTGCTGCGTGTAGCGTGCAGTAATCACATACAAATATATAATATAGCAGATACGTAAACTTTAACCTAATTGATAACGACGGAGAGCAGTACGTTGCCCTCTGGGGCAATCACGATTTCGTCTAATAAGCTGGCGGGATGGTCGAAAAGTAAGTTTTTCACAAGTCCACGATACTACTAATATAGCATTATAAGCATAATAATGTATTATTGTTTTATTTTAATAGTCGCTCGCACAATTCCATCGTCCAGAGAATATTATTCTGTGTGACTGTATGCATATTGCACGTCTCGTTATCGCGAGCTATTTTTATACAATGCGATAAAATTGTATAAATACCTATATAGRCTATAGTTATGTAGTATATGTGCATACAGGCTACTATATGAGTCAACATTACAATAATATTGTCTGTATAATAGTGCGATTTTATTGTATATTTGTTTGAGTAGAAAAAATAAGTATTAAATAATAATTTATAATTATGATTATTATTGTAAAATAAATATATATTTATCGCTCCGCTCAGAATCTAAAATATATAAATAAAATTATATTAGGAGAAAATGTATCAAATCAAAAGGTACCTACCCTACTTTTTACCGTAATTTATGTTGTAGAAATGAAGAATAAAATTCAGTTTTGAAAATTATAAAATATTCCTTATAATCTGATTGTCGGAAAAGAGTGCAATAAAGTAAATGTTTCGCGATTTATAATTTTTGAAAGTCATGTGTTAAACTAATCAGTTTTATTAATTTTATACGTGGGTAGGTATAAATGGCGTTTAGTTATTACCCAAAATGATAAAAATTCTTAAATGCGTATGGGAAAGAGAATTAAAGAAATACGCAGATTACAGATATTATACTCTTATACTTTTGTAGCCAGTATAGGACGATAACCATAATACATAGTAATAATTTGAAAATTAAAATTTGTATTTACTATTATTACTCTGAAGGGAAACAAGCAAATCAATTTATTAATATGACTATTAGAGTGTTGGAATTATTTATGACTAAGGATGAAGAACGTATTTCAGTTGCAACTTGCAAATAAATATGGTTTTCAAAATAAACACTTATAGAACAATAGGTAATCGAAAATCAACTAGAATTAATCTAAATAAGCTTATTACTATAGTGTAAAATCTAAATTCCAAGGTTAATCTATAGCCTATAGGTCAAATGTCAAAATATCCATCGCTTAGAAGTTTAGCTTACATAAATACATAATATATCTACAATAGTGAATATTATTTTTGATTAAAATTTTAAAATACATCGGTATTGTGTATTTTTATTACTTATATTATATTTGAGTAAAACAAGTTTGAGATATCGCAGAACAATATATGGTTATATGAAAATAACGGCGAGACCGTTTTCGACCAAAAACGTACCTTTCCCTTTTCGGCCGATTCACTTTTTGACCAAATTTAAAAAAGACTGATTCCCTTTTCGGCCAAAACAAATATTTATGTAATATATGTAAAAAAAATAAAATAACTGCCGCTATATAATAGTTTTTATAAGTTGCATAAAATGTTGTAAAATAACAATATTCTTAAAAATACAATTCGCGACAAAATTATTTACAAAACCATATTAATTTTACACACACACTAAAAATTATCCCTATTATTTCATTTATTTAAATTTTGAAG